GCAATCAGTGAGACTGGCTCAGGACAGGGCAGACTTCAGAGCTGTTGTACCTAGGGTTGCTATGAGTTGCAGGAAACTCGACAGAACATAACAACAACAATGGACTAATGGGAAAGATTGAGAGTCCAGAATTAAACCTATCCACCTATGGACAGTTGATCTCTGCCACAGGGCTAAAACCCAAACCCATTACATGGGAAAGTGTGAATGTCTTTAACAAATGGTGCTGCCAAAACTGGATATCCACTTTCGGGGGAAAAATGAAATGGGATCTATACACTTCACACCATTACAAAAGCTAACTCAGTATCAGTAAAAGACATAGCTATAAAGATCTTGAGAAGGATTAAAGAAAAAGACAAAGAGGGACTAACTTGGGGTTAGGTGCTACTGCCTCTAACTCACAGCGACTTTATGAACAGTCATTTCTAGCCTAAGCAGACTATCAATTGTTGTTGCTGTTGATCGCCTTTGAGTCGAGCATTACTCACAGCGACCCTATAAACAAAAGGCCTACAACAATTGACATCTATTAAAGTTCATAGAGTTCCTGGAGGCATGTTATTTAGTAAATGGCTGCAACTCCAGCTTCCAAAGACTATCATTTAGAACTAAAAATGTACAAACAGCACCAAACTAGACAACTGTTGTTAGGTGCCACTGAGAGTCAACTACAAGTTATACCTGAGCAACAACAGATAGGAATTTTGTCCTTCCCTGGCCGTCCTCACAAGCTCTGCTATCCTCGAGCCTTTAACAACTTATGAGTAACACTGAGAACAGGAAGCCCGGAACACTCAATTGTGCTCATGCAAACTCTATCTAGACCTAGAAGCTGATGTGCTAACAACGCAAGAGAACGCTGCCTAGTTCAAGAATCACATTTTTACAGTCACTGTGTCAATCCATTTCATTGAGGGTTTTCCTCTCTTTCTCTAAGCCTCCACTTTTCTCAATATGATGTTTTTGTCCAAGGTCTGGCCGCTCTTGACAATGTACCCAAAGTACATGAGATGAAGTTTCACCCCCTTTGCCTCTAAGGAGCATCCTGGGTCCTCCAAGGCAGACTTGGTTCTTTTGGCAATCCATGGGACTTCCTAAAAGTTATACACTGATGTGCATCAACAGACTTTTCCCAAAGGGGGGGGAAGCTACGGATGGGGGGGGGAACTGGCAAGGACATACTGAACAAGAGACTAATATGATAAGATGATTTTGATATTTCAACAACAAAAGTAAAAAGCTAATTAAAAAACAGAGGACATGAACAGAAACTGCACCAAAGAAAACATTAAGTGGCCAATAAATACATGAAGAAATGCACCTGATCAGTAGCTACTGCTGGTGTTAGGAATTATCAAATATGACTCAAAAAGAGACCCTCGGAGCAACAGATCTGAACCCTGTCCTTTCCTGTGCCGACCTCGTTATTCCCGACACAGTCAAACCCATTGCTGTAGTCACTGTGTCAATCCCTCTTGTTGAGGGTCTTCCTCTCTTCTGCTGACCCTTCATCTTTCCAAGTACGATGTCTCTCTCCAAAGAACAGGCTCTCCTAACAACATATCCACAGTCAGTGCGATGAAGCTCCATCACCTTGCCTCTAAAGACCATTCAAGCTAGGGAGCTCGGGTAGCCTAGTGGCAAGACACTGCACTGCAATTCCAGAGGTATATGGTTCAAATCCACCAGATGCTCTGCTGGAGAAGGAGGGGGCAATCTCTTCCTATACCAGTCAGATCTGATTTGATGGTACACTTAAAAACAATACAATAAAAATTTTAAAAATTTTTTAAAAAAAGAGCACTCAAGCTATACTTTGTCCAAGGCCTATCTAGTCGTTTGGCATTGGTGGGATATTCAGTACTCTTCTCCAACACCACAACTCAAAAGCATAGATTCTTCTTCTGTGATCTTTATTCGTGCAGCTCTCAAATGCATAGCAAATGATTTCAAAGACTATGGCCTGGATCAGGCACACCTTAGTCTTTAAAGTGACATCACCACTCCTCAGCACTTTGCAGAAGGTCTCCGACAGTAGACTCGCCCAATGCAACACATCTCCTGACTGCTGGTACAAGGGATGTTGACTATGAATCCAAGTAAGGTGAAATCATTGACAACTTTAATCTTTTCTCTGTCTAGCATGGTGAATGACAGCCTTGGCACCAAATGGGTGGTTCTAGCTCTAGTGGCTTCATGGCAACTGCGCTACCAACTCAAAGGCAGATAGTGTGAATCCATAATTGCTCCATGAAAGAAAGATGGGCGCACCACAAAATAAACAACTCGAATGAAAAATGGGCACAGGATATGGACACCTCACCAAAGATGACATTCAGATGCAAACACACACGAAGGAAGAAATGTTCAAAATCCCTAGATCTAAGAGATGCAAATCAAAACTGTGAGATATCATTTCACCCCAGTAAGAAAAGCAAAATTTAACAGAACAGAAAATAACAAATGCTGGTGAGGTTGTGGAGAAACTGGAACCCTTATTTACTGTTGGTGGGAGTGTAAAATGGTGCAACCACTGCGGAAGGCGGTATGGCACTTTCTCAAAAAGTTGCAGATAGAAATACCATTTGACCAGCAATTCCACTACTGGGAATATACCCCAAAGAAACCATCACTGCCACCCAGGCAGATATATGCACACCCATGTTTATTGCGGTTTTGTTCACAATAGCAAAGAATTGGAAACAACTTAAGTGCCCATCAACAAATAAATGGAGAAGCTGTGGTATATTCACACAATGGAATACTACACTGCATTGAAAAACAAGGAACTCATTCAATATTATACAAAATGGGTGGTGACCCTGGAGGACATTACACTGAGTGAAATATCTCAGTCGCAAAAGGACAAATACTGCATAGTGCCTCTGTTGTAAAATGGGACTGACATCGGGGTTGGGGGGAGACTGAGAAAGATGGGATAAATTATGTGTACTGCATTGAAACAGATGAGGGAGGAAACTTTAAAAGGGATATATGATTAGGTATTTATTGTTATGATAGGAGTCCAGAATGAAGGCTGCACAGTGGAGTAGACTTACGGGGAGGGATTGTATAAATTTTTCTTTTACTTTTCAAAGAGAACTGGCGGGGAGGTTGGGCAGGGAGAAAAGTACAATAATGAATGAATGAAAATCCAAAATCTCTGTAAACTTTCATTAATAAAAAAAGGGCAATCTCCTCCTATGTCATTTACAGCCCCTTAAAACCAGTTCAAGTCAGTTCTCACGCCACAATGTAGAACAGCAAGAACACGATGGCTAGACCAGTACACTGCCAGAAATTCAAGGTAGATTTACAAGAGGCCATGGCACCAAGGACTTCATTGCTCATGTCTGTTAGATCTTAGATGAAAGCAGAAAATATCAGAAGAATGTCTTTGTGTTTTAGTGACTGTGCAAAGGCATTTGACTGTGTAGACCATAACAAATTATGGGTAATATTAAGAAAAATGGAAACCCCAGAACTTAATTGTGCTCATGTGATATCTATACTTATGTTAAAAAGCTGTTGTGGGAGGGGAGCTCTGGTGGCCTAGTGGCGAGGAGCTGCAACTACAATCCCAGAGGCAACCGGTTCGAATCCACCAGATGCTCTGCCGGGGAAGGAGGGACAATCCTCCTGTACCAGTCAGATCTGATTTGACGGTACACGCACACAAAAATAATAAAATAAAATTTTTAAAAAAAGCTGTTGTGGGAATAGGAGAACACAGCATGGTTTAAGGTCAAGAAAGGTATGTGTCAGGACTGTATCCTTTCTCCACACTGATTCAACCTGTATGCTGAATAATTCAAGAAGCTAGACTTGATGAAGAAGAATGTGGCATTAGGATCAGAGGAAAATTCATCAATAACCTGAGTTATACAGATGGCATAACCTTGCTTGTTGAAAGTAAGGAGGTCTTGCAACACTTGCTGTAGAAGAGCAAAGACTACAGCCTTCAATACGTGTTACATCTCACCACCAAGAAAACAAAAATCCTCTCCAGCGTCAACAAACAACATGAGAGATGGAAACAAATGGAAGTTTTTCTACTATTTCATCTTGCTTAGATCCACAATCAATCAATACTTTTCTTACCAGTCAAGAAAGCAAAAGATAGGTTGCAGTGAGAAAGTCTGGCATCAAAGACCTCTCCAAAGTGCTAAAGAGCTATGATGTCAGTTTAAAGACTAAGATGTAAGTGATGCAAGCCATAGTCTTTTCAACTACTTGCTATGCAGCTCAAAGTTGTTTATAAAGGAGGAGGACAGAGAGGAATCACCTTTGAGCTATGTTGTTGCAGAGTGTTGAATATCCCATAGAGTGCTACATGAACAAGTATATCTTGGAGAAGTGCAATGAGCATGCTTATTACAGGCCAAGGATGGTAAACTTCATCTCATATATTTTGGGCATATGAGGAGGGACCAGTTTTTGGAAAAAAGACATCATGGTTGGAAAGGTGGAGGGTCAGCAAGGAGAGGACGATCAAGATGGATGGATACAGTGACTGTAACAATGGGCTGAAGAGTATCGGAAATGATAAGGATGGCCTTGGATAGGGCAGGTGCAGACCCATTGCTGATAAGGTTGCTATGAGCTGTGGTCCATTCGAGGACACCTCACAACTCTGCCCTGTGAAGTCATGGCACTGGGTATCTTCTTGGGCACAGCACCTCCCTGCTCTCACTGAGGCCTGTCTCAGCAGGCACAGGCCGTGGCCATACCACAGGACAGCACGTGACCCTGCATTATGGATTCAAAGCCCTCAACAGTATGCCTAGGGCCTTGGCAGACATCATTCTCAATCAATCCCAGCAACTGGCTACGGGCACGGCTTGTATCTGTTTCATTTCACAGAAAAGAGGACATAGAGGCTCAGAAAGGGAAGGAAATGATCTTAAGTCACAGAGCTCGGGGTGGAGGGGAGCAGAGTCAGGCCTCTACCCAGGTGCCCTCATTTCACACTAGATTCCATTCTCAATCCCATGTACCTTGCTGCGCCGCTGGCAGAGGTTGTACTGTTTGGAGGGCTGGCCATACTTTTGCTGTAAGAGGTGACCTTCCTGGGATGACATAATTTTCCACGTGTCCAGGTTAGCACAGAGCTGGGGATAACAGAGAGGGGTTCATGGAATGGGAAGGCATGGGAACAATGGCTAGAGCATTGGGGCAGGATGGTCCCAGCTGAGGAAAGGGAAGCCTGTGGGCAGGACAGTGGGTGGTGGGAACTCTTCACTCAACAGATATTCACTCTTTTATCCTCTTGGTGCCTGGAGCAGGGTCTAGGCACTGGGGCCATAGAGGAACTTAGAGTGGAGTTAGGGAGACTGATATATCAGGAAAAAAGAACGAACGAACATTTTGGATAGTGTTAAGAGCTCTGGAGAGAAGAAAATGGGATGAAATGATAGGATGCCATGAACATGATCAAGAAAGTACCTTTGAAGAGATGACATTGAGGCTGCTCCCCATTATTTCACTTGCTACTGAAAATCTCCTATCGTGTCATTTGTTGCACTGGAGGGTCAGCTAGGAGTTGCTTTCAACTCGATGGCAAATAACACTTGCCAAGTAAAGTTCATGGACAAAATCATTCCAGGCAAAAGGAACGGCAAGTACAAAGGTGAGGACAAGTTGCAGAGCTTTGTTATGTGCTGTTGAGTCGCCTCAACTCATAGTGACCTTATTATGTACAACAGCCCTAAACCCTGCTCTATCCTGTGCCAATACCTACCTCCATTACCCCAGTAATTGAGTGAATCCATCTTATCGAGGGTCTTCCTCTCTTGCGCTATCCCTCCACCCTCCCAATCATGACGTCCCTCTCCAAGGACAGGTCCCTCCTTGCAACATGTCAAAGTATGCTAGACTAAGCTTCAGAATCCTTGCCTCCAAGGAGCAGCCTGGTCTCACCCTCTCTAGGATGAACCTGTTTTTTCTGCCAGCAGTTCATGGTATATCCAATACTCTTCTCCAGCACCACAGCTCAAAGGCATCAATTCTCTTTTTATCATCCCTAGTCAATGTCCAACTTTCTGATGCACAGCAAGCAATTGCAAAGATTATGGTCTGGATTAGGCACACGTTAGTCTCCAGACTGACATCATTGCTCTTCAGTACTTTGGAGAGGTCTCTGACAGCTGACTTTCCCAGTGCAATTAGTCTTTTACTATCCTGGTTGCTGGTACCAAGTGTTGCTTATGGAGCCAAGCAAACTAAAGCTGTTAACAATTTCAATCCTGAGTGAGAGTTAATGAGCTCTCAGGAGCAATCTGATGGTGAAGATTTGCCAGTCATCCTTGTCTGGTGCCTTCTTGGACTTGCTGAGATGGGTGGACAAGTGCCCCCTCTGCCTGTTCCCTCACCACCCCCTCTTCAAGCTTGGGCCACTCAAAGTACAGAAAGAAGATCAGGACAGCTGTAGCATAAGTAAGGTGGAGGATGTAAAAAATGAAATCGGAGAGACAGGCAGGGGCTAGATCACTTGGGACTTGAGAAGCTAGAAAGCTGGGAGGAGATTTTAAATAAGCCATTGGAGACTGTTCTTAGAAGTAGGGGCAGACCCAATTAGAGGAAACCACGGTAGGGCTGGTGGAGCTAGGTAGATGCAGGGTGGCGGGGGAGGTTCCTAGTGGGCCAGGTGATGAGGGGCTCACAGGTTCCAGCTGACCTGCAGGACATGGTTGATGGCTCCATCGAGCTTGGAAGCCCCGCCAGTGCCTGGGGAGGCTGTGAGCCCCAGCACCTGGGGCAGAGGCTTCACGTTCTGGAGTTTATGCTCCAGGTACCGGCTCAAGATGTGGTTGTAGACTGTGTCTTTGTGTGTGTGATGACACTCGTCCACCACAAGGAGGGAGAAATCTGTGGAAGGAGCACACGGGGAGGAGGATGGCCACTGGCCGCTGCTTGCAAATCGCTTTCTACCAGCAGCTTTGCTCACACAGTCCCCAGAACCAATCTGAGCACTTCCGCCTCCCTGTGTGACTCACTGCCAAGCCTCAGGGATTGAGCCAGGTAGGGATAATTTACTTCCGTTTTACAGATAAGTAAACTGAGGCACAGGAAAGGACTTGGTCAAGTTCGCACAAAAGGGCCATGTCTGTTTCCACTGGAGGGTAGGCTAGGGTTTGGTGAATAGGGAACCTTTTCTCCCAAAGAAGAGGTGCCCTGGGGCTGGCAGGAGGAGCTGCCATGTGTCCCCCCTACCCCCCAAGTCCTCACCACTGAGCTCCACATGCTCCTCCTCATCGGTGCTGGTCAGTGCCATGTGCAGCAGCTCAGCTGTGCAGATGAGGAGATCGTGATTTCGGGCCAAGTAGCTGAAGCCAGTCCGTGGTCCCATGGCACCGCTCAGGGTTTTGATGGCCCAGCGTCCTTCCAGCATTTGGCTGAACTCCTCATAATGCTGGGTCACCAGGTGCACCTGAGAGTGGGATACCACAGGGGAGAGCGGTCGGAGGTTTGGGAGGAGGCAAAGTGGCCCCAAGGCATGTTAGAGATAACAGAGGTGAGCCAGGGGATGGCCTCTGTTAAGTCCCCAGGAGGCACCTGAGTTGCTGCAGCCCCCCCCCCCCAAGAAGGAATGGCGGGTCACTCACCCTGTTGACCAATACGACCACCTTGGCTTGGTGTACCCTCTCTAGATGTCTCTTGACCACATAGGCAGCGGCCCGCGTCTTCCCGGCGCCCGTGGGCAGCCATATGATGATATTCTTGCCCTTCAGGGCAGGCTCAATTACTTCCCACTGGTAGGGTCTCAGCTCCATTCTGGGTATGGCAGGGATTATGCTGTCCCACCCTTCCCCTGGCACCTGCAGATCGCCAAGGCTGGGGAAGAGGTTTCCCTTCGTTCAGGGCCGCCTGGTCTAAGTCAAGAACAACAAATTAGACCTGCTCCTGTCTGGCTCGGGGGGCCCTGCACCGCTGGGCCAGCGAAGGGTAGCTCCCTTCATTCAGGTTCGTCAGGGCGCCAGGCTCAGCAGAGATAGGAACTGGAAACTGAAACCAAAGGGAGGAGCCAGCTGGAGCTCGTGCCTTACGTTAACCTCTGCGAGGCGGGCGGGACGCCCGGGCTCCGCGTGCTGGGAACTGAAACGCGGGCGAGAAGCTGAGTTCAAATTTTCCGCAGAAATCTGCAGTCCCTGCCGCCGTGAAGAGCGTGTAGCCGGCGGGGGAAGAAGTGGATCTTGCTAAGCCTCCACTTGTAGTTGTATCCAAAGCCACAAACACTTTAAGTGAGGAGCCTGGAACAGGGGCGGTGGACTGCAACCCAGCGAGGGCTAGTTCCCCTAAAGGGTCATCTTGATGAAATCCAGGACTGTTTTCAGCTTGAGAGAGGGTTAAATGAAGTTTGAAGCCCTGCGCCTCGTTTGAGTCTCAGTTCCCATTGCGGATTACTTTCTCTGTCCCGAGATTTAGAATCCAAGAACCACCTCACAATGACTGCTGTCGTCTAAACTAGCAGAGTTCTGATTAGATTGTTGTTTCTTTCCAGAATGAGGGCAAACTGATTGGTCCCTCTGTTTTTAGCCATGCTTGCTGAACTAGATACAGCAAGCAGGTGATAATTTTCCTCTAAAACTAAGTATTGTGTGTAGTTAGCATTTTTCATCAGCCAAGACAGCTGAAGAGGACAGAAGGAATACCCTGAGTCACTGTACCATTAAAAGAATTGTGGGACACACACGATTTCAGGAATTAGCATGTGAACAAGAAACAATGTTGTTGAAACAAGAATGGTGTTGAAAGAAGTTCAACCTGCATTGAAGGCATTAGCAACAAAGCAAACTAAAAAACCCAAGGCCCCAGAAATTGACGGGATATACCAATCAAAAGGATACAAAATGAGGTAGCCCTCAATGAGCTCACCAAGCTATGCCGGGAAATTTGAGGAGCAGCTACCTGGTCAATCAACTGGAAAAGATCAGTATTTGTTTCCAATCTCAAAAAGGTGATCCGATCAGAATGTGAAAATGATGGAACAAAATCTTAACATTATTGACAGAGCATTTGCTATCCCAGCTGGTCAATATTGCCTTCAAGGTATTCTATCTATTCAACAGCTGAGAAATTCTATTGCTACTGTCTTAGTGGAGACCAACAGAGGTAAGCCTGTAGGGCTTCAGAGAATACTTTGGGACAGAAAAATCGAGATGAAGGCCAGTGTGCATATTGTGAAACTGACTGACACTGCAAGAACAAGTGACCAGGTCGCAGAACGGGCTCTATCAGGAAAAGCCCCCGTCCAGTTGGACAGGTGGCTGAACCCCCCCGCTGATTCATCTGAAGAGCCCTGAGAGGGCCTGGAGCCCCAGTTTGATTTGGCATCTACTTCTGCCATCCTCACTTCCCCCTCCCAGGGATCCCAAGTAAAAAGGGGATTGACTTCTCTGTCTTCCCACTTGTTGTGGGGTCTCAGGAAAGCCTAAAAAGTAATTCTTCCTGAAACCCCTTGACTACTCCATTAGAAAAAGAAAGGTCATACCCCATTTCTTGTATATATGCCTCTTAGCCTAGTTTACCTATTTGGTTGGGACCTGCTTTTAAAACTGGCTGCCCAAATAACTTTTTGTCTTAAAGTCAAGAGACTGTAGATAGGAGTTTCTCACAACATGCCTGATAGTGTTTCATTCAAGCCCCTCCCCCAGGAAACAATCAAGAATGATGTAGGTCAGCCCTCAGGGTTGAACTTTCAAAAACTGTATAAAAGGAATTTATGATTAGGTATTATTGGCATGACAAGAGTCCAAAATAAGAGCTGCATAATAAAGTGGGCCCGGGTGGGGTGGGGACTGTATAATAATGAAAGAACTTTTTTTTTCCAAAGAAAAAAGCGAACTGGGGGAGGTGGGGGTGGGCAAGAAGGAAAATGTGCAACAATAAATTAATGGAAATCCAAGTTCTGTATAAACTTTTATTAAAAGCTCAATAAAAAAAGCATTCAGAGTGACAAGTATGCTTTATTGTTAAAGTTACTCAACAAGTCAATAAATACTTACAAATAAACTGGAGATTCCACTCAGCCTGAAATCTTCAGGGAAAAAGAAACAAAACTATCAGAAAACCCATTTCAGGTGGAATTAAGTATTGTCTTTAGCCCTGTTCTGAATTCAGATAGCCCCCAGAAATAGGCTTCTATTAAACCCATAAGAAATTGTGTATAGAAGATGTTTCCAAGTAACTTCCTTCAACCTCCCACCTGACTTCAATCAAAATATAAAAGTGCATCAGTATGTAGCACACCTTCCCCAGCTCTTTATTTTCTATTCTTTCTATTTCTACAGGTTTGTGGTCCCTAAAGGCAGACACCCTCAAAAAGTTCTTCCCCCATCCCATGTTCTTAAGTGCAAGAGTCACCACAAGCAAGTCAAGAAAAGACCCCACAATAGAAAGAGGGGGAAAATGCCCCAAGAAATTTTTAATTCTTTGTTTTCTGTTGTCAGTTTCACTGTACTAATGCCACCATATCAACTGCTGAAGATGTTTTTTCCACTCATCTGTAAGGAAGAAAATAAGCTCAGAATCTTTAAAAGCTTCAGGCACCAAAAAATCCCAATAAAACTCCTGATGTTTATTTAGTTCAGTGTGTTTCCTGAAGACAAAGTGCCACTTTCTATCCCTAAAACAAAAAGGGAAGTGTAAAGCTTTATGGCCACACTTATCACAGTGCTCATGAGCTCTGGTAGCCTAGTGGTAAGAAACTGCACTGCGATCCCAAAGGCACACAGTTCAAATCCACTGAGCGAGCGGCATGGGCAGTCCCCTGTGGGATTACCTACCTGCAATTAAACACCTGCTGGAAGGCCAGCTATGTGTTGGTTCCAACTTGACAGCACATAACAACTATTGGCTAGAAAACCACCTCTAAGAATGTGCGAGACTCTCCCTTTTTAAATAGTAAAGGCATGTTTTTAAGTAAAGAAAGTACAGCTGGTTGAACAACTTTAAGAAACACGAAGAGCCTGTGGCCCTCAGGTTTCGCTTGTGGACAAGAGCATTCCGGAGGCCTCAGCTGGAGTGAGCATGGGCTCTCAGTGGCTCCCTCATGCTGTGGGCACTCAGGGACACTCCCCAAAGCTGGATTGGGGAGAAACGTGAAGACCTTTGCCCAGGATCTCCATGGAGACAGAAGATCTTGGCTGCTGTTCTTAGCATGTGGTCCCTGTTGTCAGTTGACAGCCTTAGCAGTGAAGACCAAGGGTGACCTCAGGCTGGGGCTGTGGGACATTCCTGGAAGTGGAGTTGTCCTCATCAGGTATTGGTAAACTTGCCAGCATGCCTGCTGGTGGTGCTGTGGCCGTCTCCGCAGCCCCTGGCGCTGCAGCTCCTGCTGCCAGCTCTGCCCCAGCTGCAGCAGAGGAGAAGAAAGAAGAGAAGAAGGAGTAGTCTGAGGAGTCAGATGATGACATGGGCTTTGGTTGTTTGAGTCCCCTTCGTGCAAATAAAGCCTTTTTCTGTAAAAAAAAAAACCAACACCACGAAGAGTGGACGCAGGTCTTTGTAAGCACACAGAAGGATAATAAGAGTGGTAATTAGTTCTTTAGGGAGCGCTGGTGACCTAGGGGCAAGAAGCTGTGCTGCAATCAATCCCAAAGACACCATGTTTGACTATACCAGCTGCTCTGCAGGAGAAGGATGGAAAATCTGTGTGATTAACTGCCTCTGAAAACTCGTCAGAGGGTCAGCTGTGAGTCTGCTCAGACTCTACCGTACACAGTAACAGTTCTTTTAGAGGGAAAAGGAAAGTAGCTTTGTCTTAACTTAGAAAATCTGCTTTTGCCAGAATATGGAAGATAGTCAAGGATAGTCAAGACTAAACTTGAAGGTATATGGAAAGTTGTAAAAATACGAGAAGGGACTTTCAGTTTAAGAAGATGAATGATGGAGCCTGTGCATAGTCTTTAAAATATCTGAGATCCAATGAATCAAATAGTGCTTTCCACTTATTTATAGTTATTTGTAACTGTTTTTGTTTCAGTCCTTGACTCTATGAAAAGAGAGAATAGAACCAAAACTTCTAATTTTTATTTATTTTATGTGTGTACCATCAAATTGGATCTGACTGGTACAGGAGGCGATTGTTCCTCCTTTTTCAGCAGAGCATCTGGTGGATTTGAACCGCACACCTCTAGGATTGCAGTGCAGTTGCCTACCACTAGGCCACCAGAGCTGGCCAAAAACAGAACTTTTAAAATCGCTTTAAACCACAGTAGAAAAAGTTTGGTGAAAAAAAAAGAAGTTTGGTGGCTAACAAAAAAAAGTAACATTTTAACTGTCAGCCAACACCTGAATGCTGCTCCTGTAGTTGTTGTTATTTGCTGTTAAGTCACCTGCGACTCATATGCACAATAGCTCTGAAGTCTGCCCTATCCTGAGCCCACCTTACTGACTCTGACACACATCTGCCCCCATTACTGCAGTTATGCCAATCCATCTCATCTGGGGTCTTCCTCATCGGCACCATCCCTCCATCCTTATGAGAGTGATGTCCTTCTCTAAGGACTGGTCCCTCCTGGCCACATGCCCAAAGTATGTGAGACAGAGCTTCAAAATCCTTGCCTCCAACGAACAACTTGGTTTTACCCTCTGCAGGACAAACCTGTTTGTTCTCTTGGCATTTTATTAAATGCTCCATACTCTTCTCCAGCCCACAACTCAAAGGCATCAATCATTCTTCCTCTGTCATCCTTGTCATTGCTCTCTCACAGATAGCAAGTAATTGAGAAGACCATGGTCTGGATCAGGCACACTTTAGTCTCTAGACTGA